GACCGCGCCCGCGCCCGTTCCCGCAGCGCCCCGCGGAATTCGGCATAGGTCGGCTTCAGGTTCGAAGGAAAGACTGGGTCCTGTTCCAGCCCGCCCTGGAACCTGAATCGGTCCGTCGTTCGAACCTGAACCGGCCCAAAGCTGAAACTAAATCGCGCCAGTAGTGATCCTGCAACGGCATGTTCGACATTTCTCTGATGCTCAGCAGCCGAATTCAGGAACGCGAAAAGGCGCGATCCTGTTCACGCCCATTTGGAACCTGAAACGGGGCATTTGCTCAAGGAGAACGGACCGCTTCAATTTCCAAAGCGGATTCTGGATCCTGAAACTGTCCGCCCCCATCAAGCAAATGGCCCGTTTCGGGCTCCAAATGGGCGCGAACAAGACCGCATCCATTCTTGAGCCTGGCTCCGTCCGTCTCTGCAAAAAATCGGCCGGACTCAAGACCCAGAGCGGATAAACAGAAACACGCGACTGAATCAACAGAAATGGGCCGCCCCAGCCCCGACGCCAAAGCGGAACCGAGACAACGCGAAAACATGACGGGACCGCTCCCCCGCGGAAAAGCGGCGAAACTCAACGCAAACGACCACATCCGCTCTGGATCCTGATTCGGCCCGTGTCCCGCAAAAGAACGGACCGATTCAGACTCCAGAGTGGGCGCGATATTTAATCCGAATTTTGCCGTGTTCCCGCGGTTGACGTCGCCACGGCGCGACAACGAAGGTGTAAGGGGACCTGACAGGCGGGGTGGAGTGAGTGCATGTTGCGCTCGGAGGAAAGTAGTCGCAATAGTAATAGTAGTAGTAGTAGTAGTAGTAGTAGTAGTAGTAGTAGTAGTAGTAGAAAAAGTAGTAGTAGTAGTAGTAGTAGTAGTAGTAGTAGTTAGTAGTTAGTAGTTAGTAGTTAGTAGTTAGTAGTTAGTAGTTAGTAGTTAGTAGTTAGAAGTTAGTAGTTAGTAGTTAGTAGTTAGTAGTTAGTAGTTAGTAGTAGTAGTAGTAGTAGTAGTAGTAGTAGTAGTAGTAGTAGTAGTAGTAGTAGTAGTTGTAGTAGTGTAGTAGCTATAGTAGTTAGTAGTAGTAGTGTAGTGTAGAAGTAGTAGTATGTAGTAGGTAGTAGTAGTAGTAAGGTAGTAGTATCGTAGTAGTGGTAGTAGATGTAGTGGTAGTGGTAGTAGATGTAGTAGTAGTAGTCGTAGCACTAGTACTCGTAGTCGTAGTACTGGTAGTAGTAGTAGTAGTAGTAGTAGTAAAAGTAGTACTAGTAGTAGCAGTAGTAGTAGTAGTACTACTACTAGTCGTAGTACTGGTAGTGGTAATAGTCGTAGTAGGAGTAGTAAGAGTAGTAGTAGTAGTAGTAGTAGTAGTAGTAGTAGTTATAGTTAGTAGTTAGTAGTAGTAGTAGTAGTAGTCGTAGTAGTATAGTGGTAGTAGTAGTAGTAGTAGTAGCCGTAGTAGTAGTATTAGTAGTAGTACTACTACTACTACTACTACTACTACTACTACTACGACTACTACTACCTCTACTACTACTAGTCGTAGCAGTAACAAAAAAAATGATAGTAGTAGTAGTAGTAGTAGTCGTCGTCGTGGAAGTAGCCGCAGTAGTAGTAGTAGTAGAAGTCGTCGTCGTAGTAGTCGTACTAGTAGTACTAGTAGTGGTAGTAGTAGTAGCCGTCGTAGTAGCAGTAGCAGTAGTAGCAGTAGTAGTAGTAGTAGTAGTAGTAGTAGTAGTCGGAGCAGTAGCAGTAGTAGTAGTAGTAGTAGTCTTCGCAGTAGTAGTAGTGGTAGTGGTAGTTGTAGTCGTCGTAATAATAGTAGTAGTAGTAGTAGTAGTAGTAGTAGCAGTAGTAGTAGTAGTAATAGTAGTCGTAGTCGTACTCGTAGTAGTAGTAGTAGTAGTAGTCGTCGTAGTCGTACTCGTAGTAGTAGTAGTAGTCGCAGTAGTCGTAGTAGTAGTAGTAGTAGTAGTAGTACTAGTGGTAGTGGTAGTAGTAGTAGTACTAGTGATAGTACTCGTGATAGTAGTAATGATAGTAATAGTACTGGTAGTACTAGTAGTAGTAGCCGTAGTATTCGTAAAAGTAGTCGTAGTAGTAGTAGTGATAATAATAGTAACAGTACTAGAAGTACTAGTAGTAGTAGTAGTAGTAGCAGTAGTAGTAGTAGGAGTACTCGTAGTAGTAGTAGTACGAGCAGTACGAGTAGCCGCAGTATTAGTAGTAGTAGTCGTGGTAGTAGTAGTAGTAGCAGTAGTAGCGGCAGTAGTAGTAGTAGTAGTAGTAGTAGTAGTAGTCACAGCAGCAGCAGCAGCAGCAGTAGTAGTAGTAGTTGTCGTGATAATAGTAGTAGTAGTCGTAGTCGTAATAGTAGTAGCAGTAGTAGTCGTAGTAGTAGTAGTAGTAGTAGTAGTAGTAAGGGTAAGAGTAGTACTGGTAGTAGTAGGAGTAGTAGAAGTAGTAATAGTAGTAGTAGTAGTGGTAGCAGTAGTAGTAGTAGTAGTAGTAGTAGTAGTAGTGGTGGTGGTAGTAGTAGCGATCGTAGTAGTGATAGTAACCGTGATAGGTGTAGTGATCGTAGTAGTGATAGTAGTAGCAGTAGCAGTAGCAGTAGTAGTAGTAGTAGTAGTAGTAGTAGTAGTAGTAGGTTGTAGTAGTACTAGTAGTAGTAGTAGTAGTAGTAGTTGTAGTAGTAGTAGTAGTAGTAGTAATAATCGTCCAGGGTCTTAGTAGTAGTAGTAGTAGTAATAATAGTAGTAGTAGTGGTAGTAGTAGTAGTAGTAGTAGTAGTAGCGGTAATAGTTGTAGTAGTAGTAGTAGTAGTAGTAGTAGTAGTAGTAGTAGTCCAGGGAGATCCCAGGATCACCCCCGGAATCCCTGGGAATCGTTTCCCAGGGCCCTCCAGGGAGATCCCAGGATCACCCCTCAGAATCCCTGGGAATCGTTTCCCAGGGCCCTCCAGGGAGATCCCAGGATCACCCCCAGAATCTCTGGGAATCGCTTCCCAGGGATTCCGAAAGTGATCCCAGGATCGCTTTTGGAATCCCTGGGAATCGCTTCCAAGGGATTCCGACAATGATCCCAGGATCGCGTTTGGAATCCCTGGGAATCGCTTCCCAGGGATTCCGAAGGCGCTCCCCAAGGTTTTCTTAATATCCAAAATTCTGGCTTTCAATTTCTTGGGGTGTCGAATAGATAGGGATTATCCGACAATGGTCCCGGGATCGCTTGTGCAATCCCTGGGAATCGATTCCCAGGGATTCCGAAGGTGATCCCAAGGGTGCTTTTCGGAACGCTCCAAATTCTAGGTTTCGAATTGTCATGGGTGTCGAATACACAGAAATTGTCAGGAATTGTTCGCGGGATTGTTTTTTGAAAACCCTGGGAATCGATTCCCAGGGGGTCCGAAGGGAATCCGCAATTCCCGTGGAATGCGACCGCGTCCTCGCCCGCTCCCGCGCCCGCCCGCGCACCCCACGAACAAATTAGAACCACAGAAATCAATGAATAACATAAGTTTCCCCCTCCCGAACGCGCAATTGCCGCTACCGCGTCCGCGCCCGTTCGGGCGCCCGCCCGCGCATCCCGCGAAAAGAAAGTCAAATCGCAAACGTCAATGAAAGGCTGTAGTTTCCTCCTCACAAGCGCGCCATTACCTCTACCGCGTCCGCGCCCGTTCCTGCGCCCGCCCGCGCACCCCCCGAAAAAGGGGTAAAACCAGAACAACCTATGAAACACGATCGTTATCCTTTTCCCAAGCGCGTCATTACCGTCACCGTGTCCGCGCCCGTTCCCGCGCCCGCCCGCGCGCCCCACGAAAAAGGAACGCGCCATTGCTGCCACCGTGTCTGCGCCCGCTCCCACGCCCGCCCACGCGCCCCACGGAAAGGGAGGAACACCTTGAAACACACGATTGAAAGGAAATAGTTCCCCCTTCCCAAGGCGCGACGGCCGCTACCGCGTTCCCGCCCGTTTTCACGCCCGCCCACGTACCCCGCGGAATTGCATTGGAGCCCCTTGGAATTCCGAAGAGTTCGAAAATTGCACGGAACTCCACGGAATCCAAAAACACTGGTTTCTAATGAATTCACAATTTCATTTGAATTCCGTGGGGGCCGGCTAGGGCGCCTGCTGAAGGCGCCCACTTAGGGCGCCCACGTAGGGCACTCACGCAGGGCGCTCACGTCAGGCGCTTGCTGGAGGCGCCCACTGCGGGCGCCCACTGAGGGCGCTCACTGAAGGCGCCCACGTAGGGCGAGGCGCCCACGTAGGCGCTCACTGAAGGCGCCTGCCGAAGAAGACCACTAGGGGCGCCCACGAAGGGCGCCCACTAAGGGCGCCTACTAGGGCGCACACTAAGGGCGCCCACTAAGGGCGACCGCTCAGGGCGCCCAGTAAACAGCGTATACCAAGGGCGGCCACTGAACGCGCGCAGGAAGGCAAACCCTGGGAATGGATTCCCAGGGGTCTAGAGAAGCGATCCCAGTGGGATCGCTGTCTCTATTCACTTGGAACCGCTTCCAAGGAATTATAGAGTAGCGATCCCAGGTGTTGCGGGCTACGGAGGCCTTCAAACAGCCCAGGGATGCATTTCCTGGACGGGCTGGTGGAGATATGCGAAGCGTCAAGCATTTCGCTTTGCCGTTTTCTCAGCTTCCGGTGGGTCTCTGAGGCCTCTAGGCAGCCGAGATGGCCAAGTAGGGCCCCAATCAAACGCAAAAAAACATCATACTGGCCGCAACTGGTGGCTCCCAAGAAATCCTGGAAGGGCCGTAGGCCCCAAGAGAGACCCAATAAGACTTCAACGTTCCCCAGGCAGCCTCAACGAGGCCTCCCAGAGGCCTCAGGAGGGCCCCAAGTCACTCACGTTTGGGGAAAGCTAAGCACGACTCGACCAAGCTATGCTACGCTTAGGTCGGGCATGTCCCCCTGAAGGCGGATGTTGGACGAAACAATAGTACGCAACAACTATACAAAAATAGCCAAAACATGTCGACACATC